CAAACCTGTGAAAAAAATATTCCACAGTTAAAGTAGTGCAAAATATTATCGCCTAATTACAGAATAATAATGCATCCTTAATTGACATAAATTTTAGAAAAGAAAATTGACAATTAAAAATCAGATGATTTATAATTATTAAATTGATGATAATTTTAATTATTTGCCAGTCGTTTGTTAGCTTTTTAACAAATTTAAAAAACCGTGAACATTACAACATTTAAAACTAAAACCAAAAACGGTAAGCCCATTTGTGTTTAAATTTTATCTTGTAGGTCTGTTCAAGCATTTAAAAATGCTAAAATATGATAATATTTTTTGTTTCTCTTATTTAACGTTAGAAAGAATTATATATATTTTTAAAACCTCAAACTTAAACTAAAAAGATCACTTTCTAAACAGCAATTAGAGAAACTTATATTTTATATTATATTAATTTTCAAAGTTAATTATATATGTGCTTATAAGTTAAATACAAAATATGCTTTTTTAAATTTATGATATGCATATTAAATTTGTATTTACCCTTTGAAACCCCAAAATAAACCCATAAAAAAATTTAGAAAAAAACCCTATGCAAAAAATGTTGCACTTCTCTGACTAAATGGCATAAGCTAAACGGTATTCGTAATGTCAGCAATATCAACGTTTTGGTCACAAATATTTCATACCATATATATTTTTTAATATATATAAATGCCTAACTAACAAAAATTAAAGCAATCGTGGCATAATTAAAGCAGAACAACTAAATATCATAAATTAAAAACAAATAAAAAACTAATATTTTTCATACATATAATACAAAATATGATTAAAAGTGAACCTAAAGCTAACAGCTAATTATTAAGCATATCGCTGGAAAGTTTCAAAAATGATTACAAATTTTTTTTTAAATTCATAATCATTTTTGGCTGAGTCTTCGATTGCAAGTTTTCCTATCAAAAGAAGCCCCAGCATTTCCTACGTTTATGTCATTTACTCGAGAAATAAAAAAATAAAATAATTAAAACACATATAGAATCACAATGAAGAAGTGCTAACGCATCGCACAAAGAAAAAGCGGATACTTTCCAAACTGCCAAATCAAAATATGAATAAATAAGAGAACTTACCGAGTCCATCAAAAGTTTCAATCTTACACCTAGTACCATAAATATAATTATGACTAAAAACTAAGAAACATTGATGAACTGAAGCTCACAAAAATTAAAAACTAAAAATCTATTTCTATCTATTTTGATTTGGGCATTTTCGATTGTACCCAAGTGCTCGACGGTCAAAAATTGGCCGTTGCGTTGCATAAAACGACAAAAATCCTTGGGGCAACAATTGGACTTGAGACAAGTTTTATACATTTTAGCAATGAGCCTGCAGAAATGCTTCATAATCAACAAATAAAAGAAACAACTCTAGTATTCTTCTGATATTTACAAATGCCAGAAGGGTAATCTTTTAAAAGATTACACAACATGTGAAATAGAACACAATTCAGTCAATATGCATGTAACATGACCAGAGAACAGAAAAAGTATGAAAATTCTGGTGAAGTTATTGAAAACATAACTCTGTTAAGAAAAGGACGATAGATTAGTCAAGTGAAAATATTAATTTTGAAATTTTGATATATTTATTTAAAACATACAACGTTGTCAAAAAAAAAACGAAAGGTTAATTAAATTCCTTAACAAATTCTAGTACATTTATTCAAAATATAAAACCCTATTAAGAGAAGGACAATATGTTGCCAGTAACCACCGTGTGATTTAAGCGGCGGCAGCAACCTGAAATCCACAAGCGTGCCTACAACGCTGTGACACCCATGTGGAATCAATGTGGATTTCAGATTGCTATCGCCGCCAGGTGTGTACTGTGGGTCCTTTATATGGAAACGTTCATTTTCAATTTCTGGTAAATTTATTAAAAGAAAGGCTATAGATTAGTGAAATGGGTACCTTCTCAAATTCTAGCAAATTTATAAAATAAATATATACATCCCAGTTAAGAGATGGGCAATAGGTTCATCATATAGGAACTTTCTTTTAAAAAGGTGACAAATTTATTAAGAAAAAAAACATGTGCAGAGAAGGTCGATAGAGTAATAAAATGGGAACTTTGCTATTTAAATTCTGGTGAATTTATTAACAACATTCAACCCTGGATTTAGATTAATCAAGTGAGACTTTCTTATCCAAACCTTGGCTTTATTGAAAACATAGAACTTTGTAAAGAAAGAACGATGGAGAAAATCTTATTCAAATATTGGTTAATTTATAAAAAAAACACACAGCCCTGTTTACCCTGTAACAGCCAAGAAAAAGATGATAGTTCAATTAAATTGAAACTTTTTTCCAAATTCTGGTAAATTTATCAAATCCATTCAATGAACGATAATTTGTGGACACTTCCCTAATTTCAAATATTTATTTTTCACTTGCAAACTTATTACAATCATTAATATAAATATAAATATAAATATAAATATAAATATAAATATAAATATAAATATAGATATAAATAAAAATATAGATATAAATAAAAATATTGATATAAATATAAATATAGATATAAAGGTAAATAAAAATATAAATATAAATATAGATATAAATATATAAATATATATATATATATATATATATATATATATATATATAGATATAAATATAAATATAGATATAAATAAAGATATAGATATAAATAAAAATATAGATATAAATAAAAATATAGATATAAATATAGATATAAATATAAATATAGATATAAATATAAATAAATATAAATATATAAATATGATGATTATACGTAAAACAGCGTTTTTTAATCGTCCTTTATCTGCCTGGATTATCTAAAATTGTCCATCAAACATTTAAATTGGACAAAACTGAAATCAATCTGTTGATATTTACTGAAAAGTTATCCAAAACTCAACAATTACAGTTAGAAATGAAATTCAGACCAATTCAAGTTCATAATTGTTTTAATTTCAATAACAATAATAGAATACAATAGGCCGAGTTTAAATTGTTTTCACTTTTTCGGATCTCAACAAAATGTGCCCATTTTTTAGAGTAATTAATTTTAAAGCAATTATGAATAACTCATCAACCAAATTCCAGAATTGCCACAACGACGTTCGTCGACGTCACGTTTGAAACTAAACAAAATAATAAAAACATTGCACATTTCGGCCAGACTTATTAAAAGAAGAAATTAAATAAATCTTTGAAAATATGTAATGCATATCGTGACATTTGTATCATATTTAAAAACAGACCAATGTCGCAATACGGACACAACCTCAACGATGCGAAACTAAACATCATAAACCTTGTGTTCGATAACATTACGACCAAGACTAACAAAATTTAAACACCCAGGGCCCCCAAAACATAAAGGATTAATATAATATATCATTTCTTCTGCTTGAGAACGAAGTGTCAAGTTCAAAACGACTAGAAACAAAATTTGTTGATATATGACAAATGTCAGAATCATAAACTATTTATAATAATCTGCACTCATTTTCATAACCAAATTTTAAGTTTATCACTGTACGATTTTCTCTATTATGTTTAGAAACGAAAAACAGAGAAAATGAACATATCCTCAGAGAAGAAATAACAAATATGCGTGGATACATTTACTTATGTATACACTCATAAACAAAACCTAAAATGCATTTAATAAAAATAAAGTTTATGTAATGTTCGCGGTTTAAAAATATCAAATTCTTCCTCAAATTAAGCATGCATTATTAATTTAATATTAATAGCGTAAAATTTTACACTACCTTTAACAGCACATAATCCTCTTCTATTTTCAATCCATTCCCAAAAAAGTAATTTCTTTCCATAATCACTCAACTGAAATTTTGCATGAAATTTTAGAACCGTTTCGATGAGCTTGCATTTTCAAAACAAATTACGATGATATAAAACAATTGATAATGTTTCACTGACCTACTTGAAATATGATCCTTTAATTTTGCAAAACAGTGAGCTTTTTCACATCCAAGAGCTCCTGGTATCATTTTGGTGGTATCACAAACAAACAAAAGTTAGTGTCACTTTTCGATTGAATGTTATTTGAAGAATTATTTTATGTATAACTTATTTATCTGTTGTTTAATACGTACACATAAATGATTCAATTGTATTATATTTCATTAATTTGCAACTGTTCACTTGCATGTTGATTTATAACCTTCAATTTGGCACTTTGAAAATACCCGACCAAACCTTTTTCAAACACATTGGTCCTAGCTACACCCGACATATTTTTTGTTGAAATATTTAAGATCGTCTCATGACGAAACTATAAAACTGAAATTTTCTTTGTAAAATGAATTTCTAGGATTAAGACACCTAATTTGATCCTAAGAATTTCAATTTATTTTCTACTGGCTTGCACCATATTGCATCCTTATTATATTGTCAACAATGTTGAACCATTGATTTTTTACGCTCTTGATTTTTTATTTGACAAGATCAAATTACATTGTCATAAAAATGATATTAATTAGCATATATATTATGGAATTTAGAATATATTATTTGGAAGGACTAAATGCAAAAAATACATTATTTACTATTTTTATCAGATTGATTTCAAACAAAGCATAACGCAGAGTGGCAACCTAACAAACAATATGGAGGCACAAGTAAATTTTAATAGGAGTTAAGAAACAAGTATTATTTATGAAAAATTTACACTAATGTGTAAGTTTAATATGAATTGATTTGCATAAGAACTGTAAAAGGAATTTGCATTCATAAAACCAAACTTTACAAATATGAGTTTATTATATTCTTATACAAATGTAATAAAAACTATCTTAAATTCAACATAGACTAAATCCAAGTTTAACAATGCATATTTTTAGCTTATAAATTAAACTGCTTACATCTTAATTATGAGAGAGCTTGAATATTTAATGTTAGTTTTTAACTAAAGTAAATGACTTTAGAAATAAAAATCATTATTAACATAATACTGTTGTAATGAACTATTCCAGGAATGTTACATAATTTTGAATAAAATATAGCAAACTTACATTATCACTATGATTAATATCACATATTAGTCATATTCAAATTATTTGGATTCTAGCCGATAATATATATTGGATAATGTTAAACATATGGTCAGTTAATTACATAAAACCAGATTCTTAAGTAACTAAAATTGTTTCATGACCAGCAAAATAAAACAGCTTCACCATTCTTCTTCAGCCTCAGCTACTTGTTGCTGGCCACCAAAGTTATTCTGTAAATTTTAAAAATTTAATAATTGCAATAAAAAATTTAATTGACTAGTATAATAGAAATTTCTTTATACCCCTCGCATATCATGTCCACCAAAGGCATCATTTCCACCATCTGCAACATTAATATTCTGCAGGAACTCGGGTATGGGTTGACCAGCATCAGTTAAAATTCTGACTAAATCAGCAGCGAGGGGCTCATCCTGTTGATGGTCATAAAATGAAGTAGCTTTTCCTTTGTTTCCAACTCTACCAGTTCGGCCAATGCGATGTACGTACTCGTCAATAGATTTAGGTAGATCATAGTTGATAACATGGCGGACATTTTTGATATCTAAAAAATATCAAAAAAGATTTAATATGAATTAAAATGTTATTGTAACTTAAATTTGCTTTATATAACTTTAAATGATATAAGATTGTAATCTGGATCTGTATGATAGCATTTTTTAAAACTAAACTTACCCAATCCTCTGGAAGCAACACCTGTAGCTACCAAAACACCACGAGTACCTTGCTTGAAGTCTCTTAAAGCTTCTTCACGTTCTCTTTGCAGACGATCACCATGAATACTTGTAGTCGGTATTCCTTGTTCACTTAATAAAGCAGCAATAAAATCTGCATTTCTTTTAGTCTCCACGAAAACAATTACACCTAAAACAAAAAGTTTTAAAATGAATACAAGTACAATATCAATACATAAGTTACATTATAGTTAATGAATTTTATTCTCATTACCAATATATTCTTTATCTTCATTTAAAATTTCCTTAAGCTTGTCTTTCTTTTTAAAACGTTCTACTTCATGAAACATTTGATCAACATCTGAGCAAGCACCTCCAACAATGCCTACAGCAATGAAAACGTAGTTTTCCAAGAACTTTCCAGCAACTCTTTGCACATCCTCAGGAAAGGTTGCAGAGAACATTAATGTTTGCCTATTTTCCTGCAAGTATAAAAATATTTTATGTATAAAGTATAAAAATGAGCTGCTTGAATTGTTTTTACCCTTGGTGCCATGCTAGGATTATTCATTAATTTTTCCATTTCAGGTAAGAAGCCCATATCCAACATTCGATCTGCTTCATCTAAGACTATGAACTTAATAGAGTTCAATTGAATACGTCCACGACCTAGGAAATCATTTAAACGACCAGGTGTAGCTACTAAAATATGGCATCCATTCTAAAAATGGATAAGTCATTAGTGATTGTTATTTTTGGTAATAACAAATTAATTCACTAACCATTATACGGTCTCCTTGGTGGCGCACACCTGTACCACCATATGCCATGCACACTTTCAAAACTGATGAATGAGCAAATTTGCGAGCTTCGCTATGAATTTGAATAGTAAGTTCTCTAGTTGGTGTGACTATTATACATTGGGGCTCAATATAATCTCCTGCAACTATCAGTTGTGGATCCTCCAGGATAATATTGATAATGGGAAGTAAAAACGAAGCCTGCAGATTTAAAATTGGTAAAATTTAACATAATGCTTAATTATAACTATAAAATTAGTGTTACATAATATGGCCAAGTAAATATATAGTATAAAACAAAAATTTGTAAACTTACAGTTTTTCCACTTCCAGTTTGGGCACATCCCATAACATCTCTCCCTGCCATTACAATGGGCAAAGTGTATTTCTGAATAGGTGTAGGAACTGTATATTTACTGTTCATAATATTTTCAAGAACAATTTTCCGAAGCCCTGCCTCTTCAAAGCTTTGTATGGGTACAGGTACATCCATTCCAGAGACCTAGTAAAATAAAATTTATTAGAAAAATTCATGTGTTACAAAAATATTGTATAGAATTATATACCTTCACTTCTATATTTTCATATTTTGAGAAATTGATACCGGTGCTTATGCCACTCTCAAATATATCTTTTTCATCTTCTGATGGGTCGGGTGGAATATATAATTCCCTAGGTTTCTGTGGCTGGTCACCATTATCGCCATATCTGTCACCCCCTCGGTAGTTATCTCTATCACCACCACCATCCTCATTGTCACCATCTATAAAAAATTTACAAATAAATTTTGAATAAATATGAATTAAGTTAAAAAAAGGGCAACATATTTATGATTAAAAAGAATGGTAATCAATGTACAAACCTCCACCATCTCCATATCTCCGACCACCACCACGACCACCTCGAAAGCCACCTCTACCTCCTCGGCCTCCCCTGCCCCTTCCACCACGCTCATCATCGCCACGATCACCATACCCTGAATTATCATTTTGATAGTCATTTTGAGAACCATCCCTATCTCCATATTCACCATCATTGTCCCTTGATCTTGAGTAGCCTCCTCTTGAATAAGCTAATAAAGAAATTAAGTAATCAAATGATTGCAGGGAATGAAGTTTCTCAATCGCCAGTTTGGATTGAAGTTTCAAATCTATGTATAGTAATAAAATACTCTCGTAGCATGTATAAGAATTTGGAATATACATAAATTTGACACCACAAATACAAACACATTCGAAGTATGAATACAACTCACTTCTATTACCTCTGCCTCTATAACCAGTAGATCCACCACCCCTTGAACCTTGGTCTTGGTCTTGGTCATTATCTTGATTTCCTATTTAAGAAAGGAAATTTTTACAAAACAGTCAGTATAAAACATTGCGATATCACTAACCATAATTTTGTTCCGACGAATCGTTGTAATTCGTGGCGGGTTCATTAAAAGTCCGCGCTGGGCCCATACCAACACCTACCTATTATTAAAAAACATAAACTATCAGTATATTGTGGTTATAAACTCAATATCAAAATACGCAGGCATTAACCTAGTTTACAACAAAAGTATTCATTTACTTACAGCGTCATCGTCTTCCCAGTCGCTCATTGTGGCTTATAATCTGTAGAGAATTAAATTTTATAAGTTATTAAAGATTTGTGCAATTCTTTTGTTAATTAAGTTACGCAAAACAAAACTAATTCAACGCGAGTGCAAAGCATATATGACGGCAATGCGATTGGCGGTAATGCCGAACACGTGCAATCCTATTGGTCAAGTCCACAAGTGGTTGTTGATCACATTTATCAAAATAAAATAAAGCAATAAAAACGATTTGGTTAAATAACCTTTATCACATATATTCTATTAAACTCCGATGCTAATAATAATATATATTATCACTTACTTCTATAAGCACTCACCAATAAAATAAGCCAAACAAATTAACTCGATCCAACTGTCTTTCACAAACCGCAAGAACCAAACTTGATCTGCGCAGTAGAGTTGCGAATGATGAATAGATTAACTTGCACAAAAGGCTGCTCGTACTTTTGCGGATCACGCTGAACTTAGCCGAAAATCACGATGTTCCACTGTTTCTCAATGCGTTATTGATCGCGTATTTTTCATCGAATGAATTATTTTTGTTTTGAGTTTCAAATTAGTTCAAATATCTTAAACAAAAAAAAAACAGAGTAGTAGGCTGATTATAATTATATATTATTTGTCATTTATATACATTGAATTATATATAATATTTAAAATTACATATTAGGCGTGACAATATTTTAAATGTATAGGTATTCAAAAACGTTAATAAAGTATTAACACGTTAATGAAATATTAAAATAAGAATGAAGTTATAAAAATTATTTATAATATATAGTTTTACAATATAAATGGCCGTAGATAAATAAACATGACTATGATAAATTAGGTGACCTTATCTCTTTAATTTTGACATGTTAATACAATGTAAAATATTTATTTACTGTTATTTTTTCTTGAATTTAATATTTTTCATTATATCTTTCTACTTTTGTCAGAATTTTGATCCTTCTGCATATATTTCTCAGAATCTCAATTTTAATCCTTTTTCTAACAATAAATGTTTTGGAACTTCTGACCAATCGATGTAATATGCAGATATGTTCAGTTCAAATAACTGACATTCAAATTCGATAATAAATAATTTTATTGTTACAAGCCGGCCTTTTGTATTAACAATAAGAGTAGAATAAATGCCTATAATCTTATGATTTATCAGTACATATAAAAGAAATAAACTAAACAATATTTTATGTTAAAATATCATTTTAAATGCAAGTTGCAGTGTAATAAAAGACCACATTTTTGATAAGACATTATTCACTGAAAACTAAATTCAACAGCAAAAAGCAATTCTTGAAATAAGACAAAATTTTCAATATTTAATCTTTATTTAATTAAAAAATAACAAATATATTCAATTAAAATTTATATATAATAACAAATGATTGATTTATTAAAGCTCTAACTATTTTCATTTACATATTAAAAATTGATTCATAAAATAGTTTAATGTATTCATTAAAACAACTAATCTATTATTTTTTACTCAAATTCTATGTTTCAATTGAAATTTCATTAAATAAATGTTGTTTAGCATATTCCCATACAAATACAGCTCCTGTAACATGAACATTCAACGATCTAATCAAGCCCTTTTGTGGAATTTCAATACTCATATCCAGTAGCGGTAATAAATTAGCAGGTACACCTTCTTTTTCATTTCTGCAAATGCAAGATTATAAATATATATATATATATACGTAATTTATGTATTTTAATATATTACCCAAGAAGTAGTAAGCATTTATAAGGCAGTACAGTATTTGTGAGGCAATGGCTCTTGGCTGTTTGTTCCGCTCCAATAATTGTATATCCTTCTGATCTTTTTTTCATAATATATTCTGATATTTCCCATAACTTTACCTCAACAATATTGAGCCATTTTTCAGATGACATGCTTTATATGAAACCAATTACAATGATTAATTTTTTAAGGTAATTATACTTCTTCTAGAATACTAATTTTATTATATAAAATATTACTAATGAAAAAAACTATAAATTAAAAAATGTAAATTTACAAACCTAAGACTCAGAAATTGTTTATCTTTAATAATTTGTAAATTATCTATGGCATATTCTTCCACTCCAAAAACTTCGCAGGTCCGAGCTAATCCACCTAAATTTGGAGCTAAGTTAATAAGAGAAGCCACTACTATCAGACTTGATTTTGAAACCTAAAGAAATGAAATATTTTTTTAATAATACTGAATATAAATAATTTTCAGAGAATAATTATGTTAAATACATTTTCTCCATATAGATTATCAGATTCCACTACATCCATTGATCTCCATGGTGTAATTTTTTGCTGAATGTTTAGATCAGCTTCATGCTCTAATTCTTCTGAAGATTTTTCCATACTTTGCAAATTTACACCCCAAGCGCTAAATTGAGCTTGATCTAAGGAGGAACCCCTATTGTATAAACTAATAACATTTTCATGTTCATAGTTATCCGAAGAACATAATTTTGTAAATAGACTAGGATGAATGATATCCTCATAAGTGTAGTTTGTTAGTTTTGGAAGAACATAGAAAATTATTTCTAATGATAAGTGCTTCATTATATTAAAATCTGTTAAAAATATGTCCTCTTCAACTTTTTTAACAAATTTAGCAGCATTTCCATAAGACAAAATAGTTGATAAGCTTCCACATATTACATCTGATGATTTGAGATCTGTGCAGTCTCTTAAAAGCATCAACTTTTTAGCAACAACTTGAGCATAAAGACGTAAATTGAAGTGTTGACCCATTGTCCAAGGCATAATTTTAGAAAGTGACATTTGAATAAAATCAATTTTTTGAGATTGTTCATTCGCATAAACTTGCTGAACTAGCAAATATATAATTGTTATAAAAGAAGTCATTGCTCCAATCCGCACATCCACTACCTGAAAAGAGAAAATGTGTCCTTCAACATCAATGAGCAAAATATATCTCAAAAAATAATACCTTATCTATGGATGTCCATATATAGTTTATTAAAACCATTTCACTTGCAATTATTCGTGCTGATAACCATTCCTATGCATAAAAATATGTATGATTAATAATTAAAATATGCTTTACAATTTATACTCAAAAAGTACAAAATATTGATACCATACCAGTTGGTATCTCACACTAGGCTGATGAACAAAATTGATCAAATTCTCATTAGACCAAATTAAAACTTCTTTATTTTTTTCAATATCCCAAAATGGTTGAAGAATCAGTAACGTTTGCAAAACTCTTTGTTTAAATCTAAATCAATCAAATTATATTAAAACCATTTATAAAATAATATTCATTATGAATTTAAAATTAACACAAATATTTACTAATATGCAAATATTTAAATTATAACTTTTATACCTGTGATGTTTAGAATCTGAAAAATATCTAGGCTTACTTTTGTCTTCAATCACAGATTTTTGAATCAATGCATCTGTTATATAGTTGAGAAACAATTTACCACTATTATTTAATTTACTGCCTTCACTGCTTCTTGATTTAAGTAATATTTTTAATACTGAAATTATAGACCAAGCTCGAACTACTACACTTGAATTCAATGAACTAAAAAGATTAAATGTATTAGGTATAAAGATCATATATTCATAAATAATTTCTTATTGTAATAAATCCTAGATTTATTAGTCTTTACTATTGCATTTTTAGTATAGGGAATTAAATATAATATTAATACTTACTGATTTTCAACATTTTCATTATTTTTTATAATCTGACAAACATGATTCTCAATTCTGTAACAAAGTATAAAGCATAAAACTTATTGCCCAACAAAAGCAAATTTGTTTGTTTTCCAAAAATTACCTTTGGTCTCGTCTTGATGTATTTCCAAACAGCAATCCATAAATTAAAAATTCATTAAAATTGTAATAGTCATTTAAATCAGTATTAAAGAAAACTTTTTCGACTACTATGTTAGTTAAACCTTGAATTGTGTTACCTATTTCAATAATTTGTTGGTAATATTCCTGAGCGATTACAGGTACTATTTTATTATCAATACCACCAGGTTGAATTAACATATCTGTAATTTTAGAAGATTGTTAATATACATGAAATTGCTTTCGAACACTTAAGTATTTTAACTTACCAATAAAAGCTTGCATGCATGTTAAAAATAAATCAGATTTTTTCAAATTCATAGATTCAATCCAACACCTATTGACTATCTTTTCTACATGTTCAGCTTCTAGATTTTTATATAGAATAATATTTTTCAATACTTTCATTGCATCCAGAACTACATCATGCCCTCCAAAATCTAGTACGTCTTCAACATAATTTAGGAGATTTTCATCATCGGAGGCATTTGTAACTCTTAGATATTTGCACAAAATATTGCAGAAGTTTTTATGATAATTTGATGCAATTTTACCACTCCTTGCAATATCACAACTTTTACAGTCCTCATTAGAAATATTTCTATGCCGAAGTACTGAATGATAAATTTTTTGTATTTGTACAATATTTTTGTTATGGTTTTTATTAGCTCCTTTATATTCATAATAATTTTGAGAAAAAGCGGTTAATAAGGTAATATTTACATATTTTTCTATGAAACTACATTGATTGGATAATTTATTTATGCATACGTCTGTTAGATAATCAACATTAGATTCACATTCATCATAAAAATAATTATTTGAAAAACATTCCTTTATAAAATGTATGCATTTTTCAAAAATTTCCAAATCTTGACTACATTTACATGAAATCATTTTCATTTCTGTATATTTGAAAATAGATTTAATATATTTAAATAAAAAGCTAGCAACTATTGTTTTTGTGTTATTATTGGTATTTAGATCTTCAGACTTTATAGCTCGTAATAATAAAATTGCCATATCCACTGCTTTAGTTTGATTTTCTTGAGAAGCATACATTCTAGTTTCACAATTAAGAAAATAATTAAAATATAAAGATAAAAATCTTTTAAATTCTTCTTGTTTCAACATATGTGCATCTAGGCCAAGAATTAAGAAGTAAATTATCTGCTTCACAGAAAATTCAGATGTTAAAGAATCTGTTAACTTGTGATAAATATTATAATTTTGTGAATGTAATTTTGTAGCAAAAGCCTCAAGAATGTCCCACATCTGTGTTCCTCGAGTCACTGAATCTAGTTCTTGGAATATATGAATCAAAATTTCTGGTATTTGTTTTGCATGACTTAATTTCATAAAGTTTTTTGTATAGTACAAAATAATATTTTTTTGAATGGCTGATCTGATGTAGGTATTTGGACAATTTGAACTAGTTCTCATAACTTTCTGGAATAAAGAAAGGAATGTTTCAGGTTCTAAAACAAAATTATCATAAGGTTCACTTTTCGCCAGTGCATACGATACATAAAAAAAAGGTACAGGAGCCCAATTAATGGAAGTAACAGGTAATAATATTTCAC